CAACACCTGACCTGGCCAGTGGCGCACACAAGGTAGAGGAAGGGGTCCCGGGGTCAGGACCCCCTAAAGCCCTCGATTTTTTTCCGATTGGTTATAATTCTAAGTATATAATACGTAAAATTTATTTAAATATTTGTTATTAATGATTAATTTTATTAATGCTAATTATTTATTCAATAATTAGTTTTTACTGTGTTTTGTTCCTGAAAATCGACAAAATCAATAATAGTATGATACAAGAATGGTGAACTTTCAACCTAGGACCCCCTGAAAATTCCTGAGTGCGCTACTGGACCTGGCATACCACTCTCCAAGCTTCCACACCACATCAATGCGAGGACAGATTAATTGTTTGTTAATCTTTACATGGCGAGTCTTTAGAGGCATCAAAAACAACGCTGGCTACGAATTCACGACCATGACCACAGAGCAACCGAGACTACTTGAATAAAATGACTTTTTCAACACGTTGACTCTTGGCGACGGACCTCGTAATTTTGAACCATGGTCAAGTGCCGAAGACGACACCTGAAGAATACGAGTCAGTACACGCCATCTACCGGTAGCTTTTTTTAATACAGACAACAAACTTTTCTTATGTCACAGAAATTAACATTCCGATGAGTGATTTTGCAGCAGTAAAATTTGTCTTATTACTTATTGAACAGCCTACGTATGTTGACCCAATATAGAGAACATTTACTGCCTATTTGGTGTTCCGACTGTCAGCCCCCTCCGCCTTAGTAGGATAACGTGATGATTTCATCAATGACATGTTTCAAAATTTCTCCAAATCACACACATATTCTGCAAAACATCAATTTGAAATACATTTCAGAAGAGTCAAGCATACACAAAACTTCTAACACGAGTCAAAAAGATCCAAGAATGGCGCCGATTGTTTGTATAATGTGTTTATATATCTGATAGAAACAAATACAAACGCAACATGCTGATAAAAATTTAGAGCAACGCAGGTAGATTAAAATATTATTTATGGGAGGGGGAGGAAGAACTGATTAAAATATTATACCACTTTTGATTGCAGTTCAAGGTTGTGAAAAAAATAAACAGATGGCTTGGAAAACAATAAATTATATTTATTCATTAAATTATTATATTAAGTTAGCAGTTGGGGGGTTTTTGAATCAATTTCTATGTACTAAAAACCATTCATTCATGTTTCTAAATCTGTAGTTCTTTTCAACAATTGAAAGAAACGAAAATAAGGGTTTTCCTATACAAAAAAAAATAACCATTATCTTATTACTAACACAAATGAAGTCAGAAATAAGAATTAATTTCAGAATAGAATTCCTGCTGGGTAACGTGGTTGGTTTGTCGCTGGTATTCTGCACCAAAGGTTGCGGGTTCGACCCCAGCCCACGCCGGAGAATTTTCATGATGCAGAACATTGACAGTGGGTATGTCGTATGATTATACGGCATATAAAAATTCCTCGAATGTCTGTTTGGCTTGGGTGCCCCTGGCAAATTAAAATCCTAGTACAGGTTCGCCTTGGCAAAGCTCAGGTGCCTCCCTCTGGCGAGGAAACTGGGTGCCAAAATTACTTGTGGTAATTGGAATCGCCTATATGGTGCCGCGCTAATAAGTGATGCCAGCTCTTGGGGAATGTACTAGGTCTACAAAGGTTAAAATACAGAGGCGTAGCTACCACCGTATCAATGATACGGAGCCCCCAAGCTACAGCGGCCCCAATATGTGTAACTACAGTTCCAACTAACAGGGCTATCTTTTCTAAAAAGAGCTCCGAAGGTGTTTTGATAGAGGGCCCACACAGAACTAGCTACGTCAGTGTTAAAATACCAATGCGCAACCCAATTAGAAAAAAATTCATAATAAAATAAATAGCTCTTGGGGAATGTACTAGGTCTACAAAGGTTAAAATACAGAGGCGTAGCTACCACCGTATCAATGATACGGAGCCCCCAAGCTACAGCGGCCCCAATATGTGTAACTACAGTTCCACTAACAGGGCTATCTTTTCTAAAAAGAGCTCCGAAGGTGTTTTGATAGAGGGCCCACACAGAACTAGCTACGTCAGTGTTAAAATACCAATGCGCAACCCAATTAGAAAAAAATTCATAATAAAATAAATAGCTCTTGGGGAATGTACTAGGTCTACAAAGGTTAAAATACAGAGGCGTAGCTACCACCGTATCAATGATACGGAGCCCCAAGCTACAGCGGCCCCAATATGTGTAACTACAGTTCCACTAACAGGGCTATCTTTTCTAAAAAGAGCTCCGAAGGTGTTTTGATAGAGGGCCCACTCAGAACTAGCTACGTCAGTGTTAAAATACCAATGCGCAACCCAATTAGAAAAAAATTCATAATAAAATAAATAGCTCTTGGGGAATGTACTAGGTCTACAAAGGGTAAAATACAGAGGCGTAGCTACCACCGTATCAATGGTACGGAGCCCCCAAGCTACAGCGGCCCCAATATGTGTAACTACAGTTCCACTAAAGGGCTATTTTTTTCTAAAGAGCCCGAAGGTTTTTTGATGAGGGCCCCTAAAAAACCCTCGTCATGTTAAAATACCAATCGCAACCCAAATTAAAAAAATTCATAATAAAATAAATAGCTCTTGGGGAATGTACTAGGTCTAAAAAAGGGTTACAGAGGCGTAGCTACCACCGTTTTGGGTGGGACCCCCCAGCTCGCGGCCCCAAATATGTGAAAACTTACAGTTCCACTACGGGGCATCTTTTCAAAAAGGGCCCGAAGGTGTTTGATAGAGGGCCCCCCAAGAACTAGCTGCGTGTAAAATCCGGGCGCCCCTTGAAAAAAAATTCATAATAAAATAAATAGCTTTTGGGAATGTACTGGGGTCTACAAAGGGTAAAATACAGAGGCGTAGCTACCACCGTATCAAGTAGGACCCAAGCTACAGCGGCCCCAATATGTGTAACTACAGTTCCACTAACAGGGCTATCTTTTCTAAAAAGGGCTCCGAAGGTGTTTTTGATAGAGGGCCCACTCAGAACTAGCTACGCCAGTGTTAAAATACCAATGCGCAACCCAATTAGAAAAAAAATTCATAATAAAATAAATACCCAGTAATATAAAAAAACATTTTCAAGTCAATTCCCACTTTGAATGGATGAATAGAGAGTATTCTATTAACAATTGAAAGTTTGAATAAGATATATATAAATAAATATATATGTAGGGAGAGAATGAACTAATGGTAGGAATTGAAAAAAGAGCATGATTTGTCTGCATTGTTGTAACAATGCAAACTCGGTTTGGCTAGTTTGGCTGAAAAACAGGTTTTCGACGCCAACTATTGTCTTTGTTTTAACAGTTACATTGTTACAACAATAGAGACGAATCTAAGATGGCGTCAGAAACCGATAAAAATGAAACCAACATGGCTGTATCTGTAATTCTTTGAATGATTACTTTCAGTCAATTAATTTTAATTAACTATAATTCAATTATCGTATTTTTACCCAAAACAATAGTGCACAGAAAATTTCAGCTCAAATGAGAACTTTAAAATGTGAGAAAAAAAACCTTTTCAAGTTTTGACACAAGTCGCCAAAAGGGTCGTTAAGTCGCCAAGAATGATGCCAATGTGGCTGTATTAGTAATTCTTTGACTAATTAATTTTAATCAATTAATCTTTATTAATTATAATTAAATTATTGTATTGTCATCCAAAATAATCATGTATATAAAGTTTCAGCTCAATGGAGCGCTTTAAAATGTATTTTATTAACGATTGAAAATTTCACCAAGATAAATAGAAAGTGTGAGCTAATAGTAGGAATTGAAAAACAAAATAAAACATGCTACATTAGATAGTCACGATAATTTGGCATAACTTTCGGATGATTGGAAATGAAAGCGGATTCGAACGCTTCTGAAATGGTAAACTTAACTATTATATCTGAACTTTTTTAATAATGGTTTCTCTATAAAAATCGACGGCATGTTAAAAGGAGAAAGGAAATCCATTTAGCTTATTAGATAAGTAAATTTCATTTTTAAAATCTTTTACAATTCCTACTATTAGCTCACACTCTATATATTTATTTATCTTGGTGGAATTTTCAATCGTTATAATACATTTTAAAGCGCTCAACTGAGAGCTGAAACTTTATATACTTGATCATTTTGGATGACAATACAATAATTTAACTATATAATTAATAAAAAATTTATTAATTACCACTTAATGTTGTGATTCCGTCCTATGTATATACATATTTATATTAATTGTAACTATTTAATAAAAAGTAGCTAAAATAAAATTTTTCTTTGTGACCTAAGTAGGAATTGACTTAGATTTTTTTTATTTTTTATATTACTTGTTTTGGTGGAATATAAGCTTACCATCGTCCATTGCACACTATTAAAAGGCAGAACAGTTGATAGTTTGTTCTTTTCGCATTTCTTTTTTAAACATATGAAATTTTGTAACATTATTTGTAAATACTACAATCGTGGGGGGTGGAGGAAAAGGAATTCCACAATACGTAAAAATTCATATTCCTAGAAGACGGTATATTAGGAATTTATACTTACATATTACTCCCCATGACATTTATGAAACAAGAATCAACATGTAGTAAATACAATAAATGTATAAAATCTGTTTAGTAGTAGATACAGGCTTGCACTACACACACAAAAAAGTGAGTGTACTTATGTACGCACGTAAGAAGTTATACTTCTTTGGCGTAACAAGATTAAAATCTTTCTAAAAATCTTTTGCAGGGCAAGCTGGGCCAAGGACGAAAGGCGGTCACAAGCAGAGTTGAACGATACTAACCTTCAGTCTATCGGACCAGCCAAACCTGAGATAATCGCGATTTAAATAAATTTAAACACCCCCGCACAGGGACAATAGGAGCCAAAAAATATGGGGAGGGGGTCGAAGGCGGGAATGATCTGTCCCGTTCTTGTATATTTCAGACAAAGATTTTCGTATCCGTTCCACGGAACGCAAAGCAAAGGTTCGCTGACGCGGGGATCAGCTCAGTGGTAGAGCATTCGACTGCACATCGGGAGGTTCCGGTTCGAACCCGGGGACCCTCTTTTCAGGGAAGTGAAGTGAAATATTTTTTTTTTTTAGAATTTCGAAGGCGGCAATGATCTGTCCCGTTCTGTATATTTCCAGACAAAGCATTTTCGTATACGTTCCTACGTAACACAAAGCAGCGTTCCCCTGACGCGGGTGTTTAGCCCAGTGGTAGAGCATTGGCTGCAGATCGGGAGGTCCCGGGTTTTCAACCCGGGTCCCCCCTTCTTCGGGGGAAATTAAGGGGGAAAATTTTTCTGAAAATTTTCCAAAAGGCCCGGGGAATGATTTGTCCCTTTCTGTAAAATTTTCAAACAAAGGTTTTTTGCTTTCCGGACTTTTGTCCATCCGGGGGTTGTGCGCCCCATTTTTAAATTTACCCTCATCCTTTTTCCCCAAACCCCCAAAAAGGTATAAATTTCCCAAAAATTTACATTAAACAAAAAGAAATTGATGCGGGGAAAATTAGTTTCCAAAAAAGTTGGTCCCTATGGTTCCATGGTTTTTTTTAGGAAAAAATTCAATTTTAAAAAAAATTAGAATTAATAATTGTTTGAAATACTACATCATTGATATAAAGTAAAAAATTAAACGTGACACCAGAATGCATTTAAAAAAATCCAGTATACCGTCGGTAGGAAAAAAAAAAGAAAAATCTTTTGTAAATTTAATAAAAAAATTTTAAATTTTAAATAGTGTTACAAGGAAAAAGGGGGAAATTTTTTAAAAAGGGGGTTTTTTAATGCATTTATTTACTCTATGTTATGTTTATTTTATGTTAAAATTGTACCATTCAAAAGCAATGCCGCCCCTTACGTTAAAAAATGGCAGCAATGAGAACTTGGCGAAATCTTGTCGGTAGGGGCCAAGTTGGCACATTTTTGGGGGCCATTGGGGGAATTTTGGCGTCATTGGCAGTTGGGAAACCCCCGGGGAATCTTCTAGAAAGTAGTAGATTTACTAGTGCCCGTTCAATGACACGGGCTGTTATATTTCGGGAAGTTTCTTATAAAGGAGATGCCCGCCGGGAGGGGAACCGGTTAAACCAGCAAGTAGTGAGGATTTTTTTTGATTAGCTCGGCGGGTTTTTGTAAAATAATTTTTTACTTACGTGTTTTTTTAAAACACTGTTATTGTTTTTTGATTGCTGAAACTTTAAAAAGGCCCTTTGGATTTTAGGAAACGGCTCCCGAACCCTTTTTTAAAAGGGGATTGGTTTTTTTGATAATAAATTCGCACCCTCTTAAAGAACTGTTTATTTTTTTTTTGGTTGTTTTGCATAAAACCCCCAAACCCCGGGGTTAAACAATTTTCCCCAAATTTAAAATATATTATATATACTAAGCAAAACAGTTTAAATATTTAGTTTTTATTTATTTATTTATTATATTGTATTGTAAGTCCTACGAGCATTTTTTTCTACCGGAAAAATTTGGGGGTAAATGGAAAAAGATAAATAAATTGTGTATTTATGTTTTTAAATAAAAAAAAAAAATTTAGTTAAGTCGAAAAATTTTAAGGGGGGGAAAAACACAGTGACCTTTTCACAGTGTGACAGAGTGCCCGGCCCCATTTTTCTGGGGGGTTCTTGGGGGACATTGCCCCTAAAAAATTTTAAAACTGGAGGACAATTAACTAAAAATTTAGCGGTAAATTCTATCAATCAAGCAATCAAATATATCAATTTTGCTATCAATTTTTTTTAATAGTAGAATGTAAGCAAGAGGCTTGGTCATAGATGAAAGGAAATAGAAGGAAGATCCCATAACTCAGTAGAAAATGCATACAAATGTATATTTTTATGTCTACGCGTTTGATCGAAAAGTTAATATGGTAATAAAATAAAAGATAAAGAGTTTTAATATATTGATTAATTTTTTTTTCCAAATTTTGGATTCATGGGTCGTTTTTCCATTTCCGGGGTGTTGTGGTCCGCGTGAAATTTCTAACATGTGTATGCGGCCCGGCGGGAAAAAGGTTAGACACTTTAAACAGCTCATTCTTCTTTTGAACTTTGTTTCCAATATGACATTTTTGCCGTTGGTGAAAAAAATGGGTTTAATGCAGATACATTTTTCATTCTTTTCCCTATATTTGGTAAACTAAATACACAATATTTTTAATTTAATTGGAACATAAACACAAAAATTTTCACCATTTCACAAAGTGCAACTTGAAATGCCTGAAGAATAAATTGAGCAATACGAAGTAAATAATATTTTTTAAGAAAAAACTTCACTTAGAAGACTTTTAAATTTTGGGTTTTTTAAAATTAACGTATTACAGTGCATTATTATTTTACATTAAACTACTGAAAAAGCCTTTAGTGAACAAAATATTTTAAATAAACATTTTCTTGACATCTAGTACATACAGCGGTCAAAATAAGTATTCGACATGTGAAGATTTCTTTTGCATAATTGAATTTAAAAAAAAAAATGTATATAAAAAAAAACAATTTTTTTTGATTTTTTAAAACCAAAAAAACATTAACTATTAAATGCAACCTTTTTTCAAAAAGCATTAAAAAAGTAATAAATTAATAAAATCTCCGCTATTTCATTCAAAGGCAGTCAAACAAAAAAAAAAAGTATTCTGCAAAACATAAAAATGAAAATAAATTTAAATAATATAAAACTAATATCTATATATATATATATATATATATATAGCTGCTCTTCCTCTCCGATGGATGACTTCTCTTAACCATCGATGTGGCGTCAACTTAATCAAATTTTTTTATCACCTCTTTAAAAATAGCCACACACAGGAATTGTTCAAAAAAGGGGGGGGGGTTAAAATTCACCATTTTGTAAAAACCCCATTTTTGATTTTGTCGATTTTCAGGAATAAAACATAAAATAAAAAATAATTATTGAATAAATAATTAGCATTAATTAATAAAAATTTAAACATTAATAAAAATATTTAATTAAATTTTTCGTATTATATATTTAAATTAAACCCCCAAATTGGAAAAAAACAAGGGGTTTTGGGGGGCCGGACTTGGAAATTTTTGTGCGCCACTGCCTCTTGGTCAATTGTCGCCCCATACCTCACTTAAGGGTCTCTTCCATTTCATTTGTTAGAAAAATTTTTTCCTTTTTCCAAATGCTCCACAGGTACCCCAATTGGGTTGAAAGGGCTGGACTTTTGGCGGCTATTTTTAAAAGGGCGGGTTGGATAGCATTGGCCTTGAATTGTGAGAGGAGTGTTTAGTTTCATTGTCTTGGTAAAACTGGTAGTCCTCCTCGATTCCCAGTTTTTCGGCACTGGCGCGAAATTTTTTAAAACTGGATAATTTTTCCCGATGGCCCCTTATGCCGTTAAATCCGAAAATATTTTCCATTTCTGGAAGCCACCATTCACCAACAAACCATTATATCTACTCCTCCATGCATTAATGTGGACTCTAAATTTGTTCTTCCAACTAAGCATTGCGTTTTCTGTACACCGTAATTCTGTAATCGCATCCAAAAAATCAAATTTACTCTCGTCAGCAAAAAATTACATTGCAACCAAATTCGCCGGGTTTGTTTGTGTACTTTCTAGCAAATTACCCCGTTTTTGTTCTAAAAGGGTTTTTTTTGGAAAATGGCATATTTCAGGGAAAGGGCTACCCTTTAAAACGATTATTTTTGCATGAATTTTTTTAAAAGTTTGGGGGGTTTTAAAACTATGTTTAAACAATCCCCGGGAACTTTTTTCCAAATCCCCGATGCATTGGTTTTTCCTTTTTTAAATTTTACTTTTTTTTCCATCGCTCCGGAAAACCTTTTTGGTAGGCCAGATCTTGGCTTGTTATCAACCAATATTTTTGTTTCTTACACTTTTTAATTATAAAGTGCACACTTGTTCTTGGCCTATTTTACGATAGCAGAAATTTTGTTTTCAGATAAATCATTTTTAAAATGCATTATGACCAAATTTTTATTTTTCACTTGTTTTCTCGGCCCATCTTGCTCACTGTTTAAATAAAAACTTTCTTTTGCCTCAGAAATAATCCCAAAAGCTTTGGAATTTCAAAAAAATTTAAGCCTTTAAATTTAAATTTTGCTTCTCGGTATAAAAATGTATCAAAGCCTCTTATGCCTAATACTTATTTTGCTTGCCAAACCGCTTTTGAAAATTATAACGGTGATTGTTTTGCTTAGGTTTGCTTTTGTAAGTACAAAAACTTCTGCATTAGAAACTGAACTGTTATATGCAACAAATAACGAAACATGGTTTCGTTGTTGTTACCGAGACGTAATCGTTACGCTAAAAATTAAAAATATCTTTGTCTTTGAGAGGGGTTTGAACCCCCAAATTCCACTCTGGTGTACGCTACTTCTTATGAAGACATAAATAAAATACTTCTTATTTTTCATTGTCTTTTGTTGGAACACAAAAATATAGCTTTAGGCCATGAGTTGATTTCTGAAAACACATCAGAGGAAACGTTTCGATTTAAAAAAAAAAATGAAAAAATTAAGGTGTTTAAAAAAAACTAACCTTCCTATTTAACGTATATTTTTAAAATTAAAATAGGGGTTTTTGGTACTTACGTATTATCGCAGCAATCGCCAACTCTATTAACTCGCCAAGTTGGCAACCCCAATTTCCTATGTGTCGTACGCACTGAATTGGCAAAAAAGTGCTTCGTTTCATATAAAGTCGCCAATAGATTGCGAGAATACGTAAGTACCGTTTTCTTAATATACATTCCTTCAATTTAATGAGCTTGGGGATTCAAGATGCTTTAACATGACATTCTGAAGTGTTATCCCAAAAAACAAAGTTCTCACAAAAATTAAATAGCATAATTACACTGCAAATACATCGAAAAATGGCAAAACGGTACGTAAAAATTATTTCCTACACATTTTTTAAATTTCGATTATATATATATATATATATAATATATATATATATATATATATATATAGTAGTTTTATAGACAACACACCAGAGACATTAATCATTTTATTAGATTTGATATATATGTCAGGTTTGAAAAGTTTAGCTTCAAAATTAA